AAAATAAAAAACATTTTTCTTTCAAAGAAGAGATACTGACAGTCAGTACGGTTTCAACCAGTCTTGGCTTGTTCGTCACCACCCAAATTCATTTTTACAATTCCTGTGACACTGCATTTTCCACAGAGAAGCACAGGTTGCACGCATGCACACGCGTGCTCATCTGCTCTCACCTCGCTGTACGTGCCGGTAGCTACCCCAGCGGTGTGAGCAATGTCTCCCAAATAGCCCTCATGGAGTCAGAACCTTTGGCCCCTCAGAGGCTTAGTGTGATACTATCCATAGCTCTGTGCAGACTTCGACACCTGATGTGCTCACAACCAACATTCAGCATTCCTATCCATCATTAGTATTACAACTAAAAAACTACCTTTGTTCCAGTATGCCTAATAAACCACTCATAACTCATAAAGACATTCTCTTTTTTTATGTGATGGCACCTGTGTATGATCAGAAATTCATCTTACAAGTCACTGTATTCATCCAATATATCACAGCACTGTTAGGATTTTTTTTTTCAGAAATTCTTTTCAAAAACAAAATCTTTGGCTTTACCATGGTGAGGAAGCCTTGTCTTAGTGCAATGTCTAGTGCTGACATACGAAATTTCAACATTCTAAAATCATACAGCAAGAGTTCAGCTAAGAGACACATCAGGATAAATCCTAGATAACAACCTCAGAAACTGCCCATTAGAAACTGAAATTACAAACCTGAGGAGTTAGCAGTAACAATCGAAGGTGAACCAAAAACTAGAAGTAAAATCTCCAGGAAAAAAGTCATCATAGAGATTTACTGAATTAACAAACCACTAATTTACCTTTGGGAATTAAGATAAAGCTTTTAAAAACAAGGCACAGGGAGAACATGTGAAGGCTTTGTTCTTGGATAGTAAAAAGACGACATAAGCAACTTCTTTGTTTTGTTAAAGGCTGACACTCAAAATATTTTCTGGAATGTGTTAGGGCTGATGTGCTCTATAAAGTAAGCCGGACCTCTATCCCAACCCAGTCTTAAATATACTCCTGAGTGCCACCATATAGCTCATTTAAGAGTTACCTTCCTGATAAGCAGGAAAAGAGGAACCTAACAATAATGCAGAAAATAGAACAGGCAGCCAGTCTTGAACACAGTTCTGTTTCATGGCAGTACACTCTCCAGTACAGGATGGAACTACTGCTAGGACAGCAAAACTACTTTTACTCAATTCTGCTAATATTAAGCAAGTGAATGGAGACAGAGTATAGCCTTACATGAACAATATATTGAACTGCCCCATGAGGAGGCTGAACAACACTTATTCATCTTTCAAGATGAAAACATCTATTATTCTTAGGATATGACATCATTGTCAGGGATTTTCTGGAGTGTTCCTACTTGCTGACAAGCACAAACCTAAAGCAAGCAATTGGACTGGCACAAAAAAATTGTAGAGAAAAGCTTTTTTTATATAAAGTGACGCCAAATTTTCCTTTCCAGTGTAAATGCGGTTCTTGTTTGGCAAAACGTGTGTTTGGATCCTGCCAACACATTTCAGGGCAACTATCGAAGCTTCTCTGCCCAGCAGCCTGGTACTGAGATAGTGCTGCTCTCCCTGCCAAGGGTCAAGCACGCATCTCTTCGGAGCAGACTAATGCTGCTCCTGACTCAAAAAGAGCAGTCACTGGAAAGAGAAAGGGAGAGGAGATTCTTTCCCACTACAGAAGCTTAGCACTCGCTGCCTTTTTAAGGCTTACATTTCTCCTGGCACGGGACCAGAAAATGCTACGAAACTGAAGATCCATTAGGGAAAACTGAGAGGAAAATGTGAAATCAAATATTCAAAATAAAATCCAAAAACTTCTTATCAAATAGAGAGACGAAAGAGGAATGACAGTTTCCTTTAAGGGTAGTTGTGATGAGTTTTGACGAATACAGACTTTAAAGCTTTATTCTGATGAAACAATAGAAAAAGGTCAAAGTTCTCCAATGTATATAAACCACAGCAACTTTACTATGCTAGGAATCAAATCTTTCCCTCTTTTTAATACCTCTTGTGACTTCAGTCAGGTTTCCCTTGCCACAGCGAGGCTTAGACAGAAAACTGCTAAATTTGATCAAAAAATTCTCACAAATAACTAAAACAAAAGAAAAAGTACTAAATGATCCTTGAGATACATCGAATACCTTCCAGCATTACTAGCAAGGCTGCTGCTGAAGTTAAAATGATTTTCAAATTTAAACTGGATTACTCATGATTTGTGTTTTTTCCAAGTATATGTTATAGTATCATATTCTTATAGAAACCACTTCTTTAATCTATTTTTCCTAAGATATCACAGTTCATGAAAGCTATTGTATATATATTGTTAACATTGATGCATCATCAGGAAACTCCATCTAAAAATCAAATTAAGCAACACGACTCGTTTCTTCAATCCAATCCAGGGGCTGTAAAGCCTCTGCTAACCACAATTCTCCACCTTTACCAATTACTACTCAGTTTAATTTTGCTCTATGTTCGCAATTTTAATGAAGCATGGAAGTACACGGGAAATTAGTAAATAATGATGATTTCTTAAATTTTAACACTGAGATTTAAATCTCAGACAAGTCTTGGACTGCCTGTGTGCAACACTAATGTTCAACATGCATCTATTGCACAATGCATCTCTTTGTGAAACATATACAATGTCAGGAGACTGAGAAAAGGAAGAACATACGCATTATATCATCAGTATTCTGGCAGGAATTCCAATTCCATGAAGCAGATAAATTTTGCTAGAAAAACATCATACGAGCACATTCTTTCTTTCCAAGTAATTTTCCTACAGAAACATCACTATTCTTAGTATCCGTGATCAACCAGACTCAAAAGCACAAACCCATCAACCACAGCCAAGCAGGATCTTTTGCAGTGAGCTACCCTGTGCTGGTTCAGCTTCTTTCACTGAAGTTTACCCTAAGCAAGGGGACAGATTTTGGACACTTACTCTCTGTTTGAAGTATGTCCTGATAATACTTGGAGAAGTTCCAAAAGAATACCTTGTCTGAATGGTTTTACGTTTAGAATTATTCTCTCAGGAGAAGCAAAGTTCCCCACACATTTATCACAAGAATCCATACTGACAGGTTTGGCTGAGGAACAGCACTATACGCACGGTGGCCCGAACCAGAGCTAAGTGGAACAGTTTGGCAGCTGGAGTTAATCACCAAGTGCAGTTATGTTCAAAATCAAAGACAAAAGACAAATGGCTTGACTCATGCTATGCTCAAACATGTGGTTTGTCTCTGTTTTGGTGACACCTTTGTTTTCCTGAACTGTCTCAGTAGGATTTCGCATCTGTATGCCAGCAAGAGCAGCTATAACTGCAGAGAAAAGTAGAATGGCTAGGGTAGGTCATTCTTTATGGTCATATGTATATGACCCCACACTAGTAATACAGTCTTCTGATTCACTGAATCTGCTCTTTTCACAAACAGTAACTGGTAGCCTTCACTTCATTAACTGATCAAGTTTCAACTTAAAATTGTTTAATTATTTGCCTCACTACTCCGATTAAGAAGACATTCCAGAACTCCATTACTCTGACAGTTAGGAACCATATTTCCACACTTGGCTTCTAAATTTTTGTATTTATTGGTGCTGTGCTACCATTAAAATTTAGTTTAAATTGCTCTTTACCCTCCCTATTTTCTCCCAATTGTTTTTATACATAGTGATTCTATTACCTAAACGTCTCCTTTTCTAGGCTAAAGCCAAACTTAGTTCTTTAAGTCTGGTGTTAAAAGACAGACTTTATTGACCTGATTGCACCAGCATATTTTTAAACCCACTCTAAGCATAGGTGGCCAGAATTGCATACAGTACTGCACATAAGGTCTCACCAGCTCCTTTTGAAACAGTATTAACAATTTAGTTTTTTATAGAAACACTATATTTTATAGGGAGTAGGCATGAATTTGTCTTTTCATGGCTACATCTCACTTCTGGCAAACATCTACTGATCAACACCAGAAATTTTTTTTAGAATATAACATTTTCATTTTTGCGTCACTATAATTTTAGTCATCAGGCCATCTAATTCTTCCTTTGTGATATCGAAATCGTCTTCTACTTTGATGAACCCTTCCAACACGGTTTTATTAGCATATGGTCTAAGTACACACAAATTCTGAGACAAAGTTCTTAACCAAAGTATTTAATAAAACTGGTAACAAGACTGGTTTTAAAGAAGTTCATTAGCAATCTTGCTCTCTAAAACTTATTCTAAAATCTTTCATACCTCCATCATATTACTGAACATTTAGTCGCCTTGAATACTTTTAATTCTGCTTACCTAAATAGAGGCACTATGTTTGTCAGTAGCTAATTATATAGCATAGCATCTGCTTTGGTTGAGTAATTTAAAACTTTGGCTGCTAGACCTATGTTTAACATGCTAGTTCTTTCAAAATTATTGGCCAGGGATTATCACCTCCTTTAACTGGAGCACATTCACATATTGACCAATGGTGTCTATTTCACACCACTGTGTGGGTTAGCTCTTCTCCACCTCTTTTGTAACCACTGCATTAACATGTTTAAACCCCCCAAATTGTCAGATTTATCCAGTTTACTAAAAATAGGAATTCGAAATTGGAAGATATTTTTTATGTATTATTTACAATAGCATAGAGTCAAGTCTGGACATCTTGGAGATGGCTTTAGAGTTCCTGAACAAAATTCCCAGAATACAACCATCATGTAATAAAATAAAGACTAGATTTTCATCTGCTTTTAACTTTTACAAAGATATTTCATTTTAGAAGTCTGGTTAGAGTCATGAAGGAAGACTGTCATTCTGAATTTTACTCAGGCATCCTGGTATTATCAGATCCGTTAATAAAATATTAATAACATCAGACAAATCCCAAAACATCTTCAGCCAATGGCTTTTTGTTCAACTCTTAATCAAATTAACAGCCAAGTGATCTTTCCATTAAATTCCGCAAAACTTGATGAAAAGAACAGTACTTACTTATAGTTATCATCTTCTACAAATTTCTGAAGTTCTTCAATGTAACGAACAGACTTCAAATACTTTTGCACATGGGGCAGTGTTGTAAGATGATCTGTGGAGTGTTCAAACAAAAAAAAGATGAACATCCATGTCATCCAAGATTAATTATTCTTTCAGGTTTTTCTTTTTGTTGTAATGGTTCTCTTAAAGGAAACAGAATTTGAGCTTTCCTAAAGAATAAATGAGGCAGAAATTTGACTCTAAGATGATGTTAAAGATTTGATTGAGCAAAATTAATGTTCAGTTGTTAAACAAAACACAGCTGCCTTTTATCATCATGAAAGCGAGTGAATTTTATCATATGCTATCTCACAAGTGGAAAAGAGTAACTTGCTACAAACTCTACTTGAATTTTGTGCTCACTGTTCTGGGGGAAATTAAAGCCCACAGCCATGGCTGTCAGTGATTCTCATATGAACACGAAGTGAAGAGACTTAAAAATTACAATGCTGAATACCAAGAAAGACAGACACTCAGTTCAGAATGACAGAAAAATCCTTTGACGCATGGTGCATGGACAAAAACATGTCTTGTGGTATCTAAATTGACTTTTATGCTCTCATAAAGACAGCTGTTTTAAAGGCAACCATTATTGCAGAATATTGTTTCAAGGCCATATTTTAATTTTTGTTCTGGTTTTAACAAAAGCACTCAAAATTAATGCATAGCAATGCAGGAAGTCACCAAAACTGTAAAAAGGAAAGTGTCAGTGAAATAATGAGGTTTCTTTGTCATTCGAAGTATTCAAAGACAAAATGAAACTCCCAATAAGAACATGACAGCTGAACAATCTAGCTGCTCAGAGTCACGCGTTATTATGCCTAGTCCCTACCCTTAAATACTTTATGATACCAAAGCTGACAACAAAGGACAAGGGCTGGATACTTAAGCATTCACAAGTAATTTCTCACCTTGTTTTCTCACAATCTAAGGTTTAATTTTTTTTCTATTCAAAACGCTCTGAAATCAAAGCATTTAAATGTTCTGAAATTATTTAACTGTACAGCTGCTCTCAAGGTTTTCCAGCTTGTTTCATGTTTAAGCAATGAAAAGTCAAGCTAGGTCACCAACAGTAGGCTGAGTATTTGTCAAGACCTCAAAACCAGCACGTTTCTTGACATAAGGCTTTGCTAACAGGCTAGAATTGCAGAAATGAATTTTAGAGTAAAGTCTTGTTAACAAAAAGAAGCAGCCCCCTCATGTTCCTCATTTCATCAAAATGTGAGGTATGTGGAAAAGCTTAACACTCAATTTAACAACTGTTGATTGAAATATTTGTATTTTGTTTTGTAAACATATCATCAGGATATCAACAATAAAATGATAATGAAATTAACACATTCTACATTCCAAAGACATCATATTTACTGCAAAGGAAAGGAAAGATATTAAGATAATTCTCTGACTGGCTCTGGTGGAAGCAGAATACAACCAAGTATAACATCAGTACTTGAAAGTATATCATTTGTAGTCCACATGGAGCAGTAAGCTCTGCACAATTTCTCTTATAGCTCTTAACATTTAAAAACATGCTTGTTTGCCTAATTTACTGGTAAGCCTGAAACTGCACAGAAGTGGACGCTGTATCACTAGTGTTCAACTCGACCGGTGCCAGCCTCTTGTGCTACCTTTACGCAGGGCCAAAACCCACTCTCACAGCGTCGTACTACAGACATTTCAGTTAAGGCTTAATAGGTCTAACAAAATTCACCAACCATAGTTACAGGAGACTTGCAGATCAGCTATTATTCGGAGAATATTGTTCATTTGATTGGATCTTTGTTCATTCTCCATAATGCTGCCTGAAGCGGGATATGCAGAATCGATGTAGATTAAATCCAAGAGATAAATACCTGAAACAAACAAATCAATCAACCAATTGATCTAGCGTTTCAAACAGAAATAGTTGCATAATTTTTAATGAATAGAACAGCCAGCTACTATTTGTCCCAGTGGTCTGGGCCCATTTAAGAAAAGAGAGCTTGGGATCTGCGTGTTGAAAAATTTCATAACTAGCAGCTGAGTTCTATGACACCGCTCAGAAAAGGACACAAAAGATTCTCCTCATGTGCTCTTGTACAGGCTGACGTCTACTATGGGCAATTCGCAGGACCGTAACGAGGACAAGAGAGTGACAAGTGCCAGGCAGTGCCGGCGACAGGACGGGCAGCGTGCGCTGAGCTGGCAGCAAAGCACAGCAGCCTCCGGCCACCACGAACAGCGCGCGGCACCGCACTGCGCTGCCCGCCAGCTCTGCTGCTGGGCACGGCCTTACGGCATCACCGCACCGTGTGGCTGACACGCCAGGCTGCATCTGCTAGGAGGCAATACGAGATGACGTTTAGGTTTTGATTATGTGAGGATTTAAAAAAGCACAAGGAAAAAGTTTTTATTTTTGAATTTCTTAGTTGAAAAAAATGGCATAGTTACTTGCCTAGGCCCAGATTTCTCATTAAATACAGAAAGATAGTGATTATTGTAATTGCTAGGAATGCTGATCGTTCTTATTTGTATCGCACTTTTCCCAAGCACTAGTTGACTAGACAAAATGTCATTTTTGGTTGGTAAAGAAGCAGATTATATAGAGAAGTCGTGTGAGGCAAAACGTCAGCTATCTTCATCATCAAAAATATACCGATATCCAATGTTTAGTAGGCAGGTATTTTGCAGAGTTGGTCTCTGTTGTATGGTACTTTTATCTTTACAAATTATATAAGAAAGAAAAAGGCAGGCCTAAGGCTGAAACGAACTAATGAAACAGCATAACGTTTTTTGCATGGAACCCAACTTCTTTGTATTAACACACGCCATTCAGTTTTGAATGCAAAAAAAACTGTTTTGAGCAAGTTTGCAGCGATTCTCATTGATATCAAGGGTCTAAACACCCTCTCGATCTGTATCAGTAGTTGCAAGCATTTCTTCAGGACAAACAGTAAATTTTTCAGAAAAATATACAGCTGATGACCAACAAAATACACGAGTAACAAAAAGGATGAGGGGCGTTGGCACAGGTTCTGTAAATTCCAAATAAAAGTGTAAAGAAATGGGCTTTTTGTGGGTAGTGGGGTGCATGAAGAAAGAAACCAAACTAAAGGATGCCAATAAAAAATTAAACTGAGTGTAACATGCTGGACTGTAACAGAACATATTCTTTGTAAATACACGCCAACGTACACCTCTTCAACAGTGTTCCTCTCCCTCCCTCCTTTCAAAGCAAGAAGGATGATTAGTTTTCTATAATTTTTTTTTTATTGTTAACCAGACTTCATCTGGACAGTGGCATTTTGAACTCTTCTATATATATGATGTGATAATAGGAATAGCTGAGAATGAGTTTATTTTGCTCAGAGGAATCACAAAATGATCTCCTTCAGCAAGAGACTGTAAGATCTGCTTCTCAAAGGAAAGGCTTAGGGTTGCCATATGCCAAAGAAAACATACAGCACTAGTTTTTCAAACCTTGGCTTACATTTGTGCTACTGTGCACTGAAAAAAGCTCTCTAAGATGTGAAGCCATCAGGATATTTTCCAGAGGGTGAGCTCATGGGCAGCTGCTTCCACAGGCAAAACATTTTCCAGTGATACTGACTTTTCTCCATTGTTACTAGAACTAATTTTGCAGCTGGATATTGTATGCAGACAACACAGTGTTCATTAGTTTATGGTATCATGGAAATAATAACACAGACTAAGGAAAAGCATGGCCAAGTAATCCAGAACTAAATTTATCAATGGAAATCACACCGTGTAACGGGGACCGATTATTTTTAAATTGGCAAAAAGAACTGTAATACCTAGCTCTTAAATTTTTATTGCAGAGCTCAAATGAAGCAGTAATATTACTGACAGTTTAAGGACAGAAAAACTGAAGTAAAGTAAAAAAGTGACCTTGAAATGTAGTAGTCAGTGCCACCCAGCTCATGCATTTTTAGTGCTCCATTCACTAGACAACAACTTCTAAGGCTGAATTTTATTGAAAAAATATTTAAGGAGAACTGCAGTGTTTAAGTCTGCATATTCATGTCTCGATTCACAGTTAAGTTTCTTCTACTATTTCTTTATTCAATACTCAAAGCTTGTGAGAAAGAGAAAATAGCACTGAAGCAGATAATAAATAAGCATACTTTGGAGTTGATGGGTACTAAGAACACATGCTTAAGAAAAATAATCCCAAACCTTCTGAAATTAGTGGTTATTCAGCTTCACACAGTTCTCATGAGCCTCAGCTCAAGCATATCAGCTTTAAAATTTTCATGAACAGCTACAGTGTGTGATTTGTTCCTCATTAAGACAGACTGACATAACATGCTATGAAAGACAAAATACTTTCAGTGCAGTAAATCACACGAACAAAGCTACACCAATGAGAGAAGCTGGGATAGTATTACTTTAAATAGCAGTACCAGAAACAAATGGAAATCTGGTTTTTAAGGCATTTGCCTAGAAGTCAGAAAATCTGGGTTCAAATTTTCTGTTCTGTCACACATTTCTTTGACCTGGGCAAGTTATTGTTATCCTCTATTTTCCGCGAGTTCAACGAGAGAGAGAGCATTTCCCCGTCAGAAAGACCTTATGAAAATAAATACTATGGCTGGGAAGACTTAACAAAAGTGGGGTTTAAATTCCTTATAGAAAATATGTAATGATGTGCAGCCTGTAGAAGTAGCAGCACCATTTATTCTTAACAGTTCAGAATTCCAAATCTCTTGGGGGTTTATGACAATTTTCAGGCACAAGGCATAATCCAAAATTTACAGTACCTAAAATTGTCTCACAAATACACACTGTTGCAAAACTGACCGTAAAAAACCCAGTGCAGATAAAGATTGAAAACCTGCATCATTCTCAATTGTTTTTTTTTTCCCCCCTACTTTTTTATAATGGATATAAAGCTATCCTGTGAAACAGTAGGGCTAAAAATTGAGTGGTTAGTAGACCACTACTGTATACTTGACATAAACTTTAGTGCGTAGTGTTCTGCTAAGTGTCTGTGCAATTCTGCAAATGCAAATGACTTTGGAAACAGCTGCTGTATGGTATTTTTGTTACTCAGACATTCACTGCTTTACAACAAAGAATAATTAGCTGATGGGAATGTATTTCAGATTAGCCTGGGGACTTCAATTTGTTATTCTTTCTTAACATTTTGATCAAGTACTGAAATAATCTTCAACATTTGTTTAGTAAATTGTACTGTTACTGTGACAACCACAACACATGCTATGAGAGGAGAAAAAAATAAGTTAAATGTTTCGATGAACAAATTTAGTTCCCTACTTATCCTCATGTACGCTTTCTAAAGATACCCACAACCCAGAAGCCCCTGAATGCACATATGCTACAGCGTAACACGGACGTCTAGGTATGGAGCATTATCTGAGTACAGGAAGCAGCATCTACGAGACGCACAGTAACTGGCACACATAACAGAAGGGAACCTATGGAAAGTAATCATTTTCCCTTTTTTCTCCCAAAAAGTTCAGTAATGACACTGGTTTGATAGGAAAACCAGAAGAAACAAAAATATGTTTCCAATTTGTAGTCAGCTATATTTATGAAAGCCTTTTTCCACATACAGTACTGTGGTTGTATCATATTAAATAAAGCACAGGACAGAGAGAAAGCAACTTATCAATTAACTAAGTGGCAGAAAGTCCAAATCACTACAGTCAGCAGTCTGTAAAACCAAAGACACCATTCCTAGGAGATTAGCTCATAGTCAGAAAAGCCAACAGTTTTGTGGTATCATTGGTTTCAAGAAGACTGGATATTTTCCATGGACTAAGGGCTGGAAAAATTTTCTGCAAAACCAAATGTATACACTGGTTAACCTTGGTAGGACTTGGAGTACTCTAAAAAACAACTGAAGACAAATCTTTGCCAAGGCAATGACATGTGATTTGTAATACATATTGCTGGTGCAGTGGCCAAGTGACTGGGATCACTCACAGGAAAGTGAAAGTGGCATTACAACCTGGCTTATCACTTCTATCTGATGCCAGCTAGCCAGAACGCAGCATCGCACAAATGCAGAACTGAATGTGGCTGAGTCAAAAAGACAAAAAATTTTCTTGATTAAACAGATTTGTCTAATTTTTATTTACACAGTTCCAAATTCCAAAACAGCCATTCTCGCCGTTCTCTGGCATCTTCCTTTGCATATCATCAGTCTACCGAGAGTGTGAATACTTAAAATATCACAAAAACTTTTTCCCAAAATGACAGGTAAAAGCAATGCCCGTAATGATATTGCTAGTAAGTTACTAAAAGGGGAAGTAGCTACTATGATTGCTTTCTGGAATATTATTTCTTCAACACAGTGAACTGAAAGATATATTTTCTGTATTTGTTGTTTTGTGAACATTCATTTACATGAAAGGAAAACAATTACTTCAAAACACATGACTTTTGTCTTTCAAAGAGAGTAAAAAGAAGCATCTGAAAAATATATAAAGAAGAGAATTTTTGTTATACAAATCCTTATATAAGTAAAGGAAAAAGGGAAACTTTAAAAATAGATGCCTTCTTTAAATAAGTTACAATTATGTTAATTAGAGCTTAAAAAAATTTAGATTGCTTTAAAGCATTTTAATCGTGGTTGTTACAATGAGAGTTGCTGGAAATAGCTTGACATGAAAATATGGACCACAATTGTTTTCATGTTGGAACTGCAAACTATACAACTAACTTTTCAGCTCTTGATAGGCTTGAGAACCTCTGCTTATTATTTACACTTTCAACAGGGACAAAGATGTAGATTTGCATACGTATATTTAAACCCAAATCTCAAAACTCCTCCCTGGTGTGGCTTCATGGGCAAGGATTTAGAGTAGGCATTTCTTGTTACGTTGAGCCTTGTTACACAGTCTACATTTTCTTGCTACACCAGCAAAGCTGCTCAGCAAAATTCACACTAGTACTACAAACACCAGAACATGGATTGAATTAAATCCAAATAACTACTAAAGTGAGTATCTTGTTTAGTGTTTTTGTTACCACACAGAAATGTATTCATGACAAAATGTCTCAAGAGAGACATTAAACAATTAGGAGATAGTCCCATGGGTGGCCATCAGGATGACTACAGGGTTGGAAAACTTGTCACAGGAAGAAAGGTTAAAGGGACTGGGTTTGTTCAGCCTAGAGAAGCGAAGGTGCAGGAAGGGGACCTTCCAGAATCTAACAGGCAGTTACAGAGAAGATGGAAATACTCTCTCCAGAGTGATACGCAGCAACACGGCAAGAGGCAACAGGGGAAATTCTGTCTGCACGTAAGCAAAAATTTTTCACCGCGAGAACAATTAAATACTGGAT